AGCTCCTGGAGTGTTTCAGATATACATATGACAAGAAGTTTGACCATCTTATTGTCACTGTTGTGTAACTGTGACAACAGAAGTCTGAAATTTACTGTGCATCAACAGTAACATGCAGTAACGACTTTGTATTTTTGTGTTTTTATGATGTACATCACTTTGAAATGCATTGTTGCTGAAAGGTGCTATACAACTAAAATTTGATGTGATTTGATATTGATAATGGCTTTACATCCTGGGTGTGACCTTCTTGGGTGCTTGCTAAAAACACTCTTCAGTAGCAAAGTCACCTTTACCTTCCCCAATTTCACAAATATTTAGATTCACGACTCAACACGTCTCAACTGTTCTGATGGTGCAAGCGTTAATTTTGCAATCTGGTACTTAGATGAATCTTTTTTTTTTTCCAAGCATTTTTCTCTTGTTTCAAGAACAGTCTAAAGTGGTTTTACTGTGAGTATGAGACTGAGTAATTCATATGGAGGTGGTTATTGGGATGACCTATAGGAATATATATTTGACTGAAAATGTTGGGTAAGATGTTGTGGGTGTTGCATATTGTAGATTTCCCCCATTTCTCATAGTGAGACTGTAATACACCTACTCCACCGACATCGAGTTAAGGCCTGAATGTAAGTGAAGAGTATGAAACGCCTGCCAGAAAGGCGGTGTGTGTGTGCGTGTGAACCAGAGAAAGTGTCTTCTCTCCTTTTATCAGTGAAGCAGGATCACACCTTTTACTTTCTGTGCTTTCTGTCCACCTTCACTTCACAGTATCTCAGGATTTTGCTCATTTTACAAGCTTTTCTTCACCTTAATGAGCTCATTTATTTCCTGTTCTTTTCAAGTCTACAAAGTTTTCAGTAACATTAACCCACTTAAAAACAGTATTTTACTTATATATGTGAAAAAGTAGAATGCTTAACACAATCGATCTAAATTATATTGGTAATTTAGATCAAATTTAAATAGTATTTTATCCAAGTAACTTTTAGTCAGATCACGAGGTAACGCAGAAACACACAGGACAAACAACCACGCACACAAACACCCATCATACCAATCTACCCACTCATACTGGTAGATTAAATGGATCAGTTCATGCAAGTCATTTTTTTTTTGTTTTTTTTGTTTTGCATTTACTGTGGGAGGAAGTGAGAGTACACATTCATGGAGAGAACATTAGAACTTCATGCAGAAAGACCTCTGGCTGGGATTTGAACCCAGGAACTTTTTTTGCTGCGAGGTAAAATGACTACCAGCTATGGCACCTTGCAGCCTAAAATGAGCTAATATAACTCAACAGATCCTTATTTTTCTTGCTTATATTATGATTTAACAGGTACTTTTACATCTTTAAGTATCCAAGTTTTATGTGTTGTTGCTATAAAGGTTTTCATAAAGCAAAAAGCAAGCAGTTCTGGCGAAGGAAAAAATCTTAACATGTGACTCTTGTTGAAAGAAAATACTGCAGCCATTATTTTTTCAATAGGATTATCATGCAGACAAAATCAAATCCATAATTTTGCTTTAACATACAAGTTGTAATTTACACTTTTGCTGAAAATATTTGTTCCAAATAAGATTTTTCAGTTCTTAATGATTTTTACTGTTGGCACAATGCTCCTTCCACATTGTAGCACGTTTTTGTTTTGCATCATCTTTATGGTTGCAGCTCGGTGGTTAGTGTCTTGCCACTACCACAACAGCTCAGCTCTTGTCTGCATATTTTTTTTTCTTTTTTTTTTGTTTTTTTTTTGTTTCGGCATGCTGCAGAAATAATTTTTTTACTTTAAAGAGTTGAATTATTTTCTTCATGCATATCCTTTTTTGGATGCTAATTTTAAAGATGCTAATTTTCTTTACATATTGTACTCCTCAGCCTCTGATTTATCAAAATTGATGTAGGGTGGGAAAATCAGCTACCTTTATTATGACAGAGATTGCTATGTTAAATGTCATTTAACATAGCAAATTCTGCATAACACATAGGGTTTCAATTCACTAGCCTAAGTTTAGCGTTTCTTAATTTACCCTTTACATTGCATATGCAACCTTACTACATTTGCCATATTTTCAATGCTGTATGATTGCATAATATTGCATAAAAAACTTACAAATGCAGCATTATTTTGTAATACAGTATCTACTGAGAGGTGATGAATTAAAAGAGAATCCAAAATAGTGCAAACACTATTAGGATTTTTGACTTTTTTTATTGCAATTTCATTCTGATAGCTCTCATATTTATATTTATACAAAACATTTTATTTTATAGCAAGTCACTATTATTCTCTGTTTATACATCATATCTTTGTACACCTGTTTATAAATATTTATATATGTATAGCACTTCTGGATAGATGCAAACTACATTTCGTTGCTTAGTACTTGTGACAGTGCAATGACAATAAAGTTGAATTCTATTCTAATATGTATTTCCGATATCCAAGAGTTCTTGTTAGCTCATTTTTTGAGAGGAAAATCTACTAAGAGGTTGTATTGGACATTTTATGCAAGATTTCATCTTGCCAGTTTCCCAGCAGGTGTTGGGTGGAGTTGTTTCTCAGACCGTCAGTTAGCACACAGCCTCAACCGTCCTCTTGATATTACGTGGAACTGAAATGCCAGTACATTTCAGCAGTGGGTTGTACTGCTGTAGTACGTATGTATAGGTTAATTTATTTATCGGTGTGTGTGTGTGTGTGTGTGTGTGTGTGTGTGTGTGTGTGCATTTGTGAGGGTGTTCAGAAGTCGTTGACAGGAAAGGGCCCTTTATTATTCGTCCTTGTCACGCACATGCAGTGTTTCACCTATACCACAGAGATGAGATCCAGATGCTGCAACACCACGTTCCACATCCAATTACTTACTTAATTTAAAGTATTACTTTCAAATTAAAATCTCACATAAAAGTAAAAAGTATTTTTGCCTTTTGAGAAACTTTCTTGCTTAACAGCTGTGTAAAACATTTTTTACCTCTTTTTGTGAGCCCAGCCCATTTGTGATTAAGACCAAAAATATTTATAATAGTTCGAGAGGTAAATTATTATTGGGAAGTAACAATAATTTTGCATTTAAAATTTTAAATCAAAGTACATGCAAAAAAAAATGACATCACTTTAGCCACATACCTGCATATTTTCACTAAAGATATGTAAAAATATCATTAGATTATTTCACATTTTTTAAAAAATGTTGATGTTCAAGATGGGAACTCTAACAGCCCTTCTAATATAAAATTTTCATAAACTTGAATTTAGATGTTGCAGTTTTTTTGACATCATACCAGCTATTCAGCTGTAAAATATTTGTTTTACATTATGTACAGTTACTTAAGTTTTAAGGAAGTGTGTTTAAGTACAGAAAACTAGCTAATGATATAATGGATCAACAGTCTTTAAATTCTTGCAAAGTCTAAAGTTAGAAATGACAGCATTAAAAAAACATGTTTCTTAGGTTTGCGTATTTTTTGTCTGACACCAAATTCCTCCAGTGACTTAAAGCCTTTTACTTTTTAATTGTCTTTATGCTTTTTAATTATCAACTACTTGAGATGAAGAATGAAATCTGTTGAAATTTGAGAGATTGGGCTTTACAGAAGTATTCATTCAACATTCCTCTGAGCACATTGTTTTTTGTTTTTTTTTACTCTTCCTCTCACATTTGCTTGTTGTTACCTGCACAGTAAAAGAACAACATGTGAAAGCATATGGCATTTGGTTTATCTTCTTAGATTTGGTCAACTTCCTGTGAGAGAAAAGAAAAAGCTTTTAATTTTTTTTCCCCATCAGTTGTGATTTAAAGGTTTTTCAGATACCTGAGTGTCCCTACAAGGTCAAATATTGTGTCTGCAAATTACACGTCTTCAGTAGGTTCAGTAAAATCGTTTCTTGCAACAAACGTTTTCGGTCATGGCCTTTCAACAGCGGGTGGTAACAGTTACTGGAGGCCAGCGCATCCGGACACAAGCCTGTACTTGCATACCATACATTGTCAGAATGAAAGGTAAAAATTCAAATCCTGCTGCCAGTGCATTCAAAAACAATCAACTGTCACTTTACTGTTCTTCATAACTGAAAGCACAGTCATAGTCACTTTGGTACTTTCTCTCTTCTTCCTCTGTCTCAGCCACCACAGAAGTGGTATTACTGTTGTGTCTGATGTGGTCTGTCTCACCTCATGTAACTATTTCTTTTCTCTGCACAGTTCTTTCCTCAAGTTTTGTCTTTGTCTTTTTTTTAAATCAACCATCTTTTACTTTTATCCCTTTACACATCCTTCCTTCTTCCATTACTTGCACTCTTCTTTCCCTCTCTCATCTCCTTAACGCACTGATTTTCTCCTCCGTCCATGACTATTAATTTTCATCCTCTTTAATTTGTTTTTCTCTCCAGCTCTTTTCCTCATTTTTTTTACATTTGTTTTCTACCTCTTCTTACTTCCAGTTTTGTAGTGTTTTCAGTTTAGTCATTTTCTCCTTTCCGTTTATGTTGCAGAGTGCTGTATCCAGCAGACCGTCGCCTATTAGCAGTTTAGTTTGTGATTCACCTAATTGTGTGGAACGCATCTCCAAATTATTCCCATATAATTCACTTCTTTGCAGATTTTTTTTCTATGTAACATATCTAAAAGACTGTACCTTTAAGAGAGAAGCTGAAATATCTAAGTGCAATGCTACTTGGAGATGCTGTCAGTTATATGTCATAGCATGATGGTGCCTCAACCATGCTTGACAGTCATGTCAATGTTGGATGGGACCATATAAATTTTTTTCTGTCCAAATGATCCTATTCTCTCTTGGTCAAACACATATGTTTTATGCTGACAAAAAGTAAAATCCACACTATTTAATTCAAATTTATGTAATTTCCTTTTGGAAAGTAATATGCTGTCCATTGGTGGATGATGCAAATATTTGCAAACATGTGAACTTCTCACTGGAGCTACCAATGAGCCTGAGTGTTTACGATCTGAATACCTTTCCTTTCTCCTTCCAGGTGAGCGGAAGCGCTATCAAGTCTTGATCCACGGCATTGAGCCGCTACTGGAAACTCCTCTGCAGTGGCTCAGTGAACACCTGAGCCATCCTGACAACTTCCTGCACATCTGTGTCGTCCCTGTGCCCACTGATTGAGACCGCGCCTCTGCACCTTGTCATCCCAAGACTCATCAGCCAATCACCTGCTAGCTGAATAACCTCAGACATGGTAGAACTTCACTGTGGAAACTTGGAGCTGACAGACATTAAAGGAGAAGGATAATATTGTTGATCACAAATATGAACAAGATCTCCTTTATTTGGTTACATTTCCATTTGGTCACTTCTACTGCTATCCCTCTCTCAGAAATTTCACAAAGACACAAAAGATGAAAGGAACTTTTCTTGTTCAAGAAGCAACTCTTTAAGACACAGGAGTCAAACTCCAGTCCTGAAGGGCCACTGCCCTGCAACTTTTAGATGTGCCTCTGCTGCACCACACCTGAAGAGAATAATTAGGTCATTAGCTGGGCCCTGGAGAACTTCTCTACCAAAAAGGAGGTAACTAAGCCTTTCTACTCCACTGTTTTGTACCTGTGGCACATCTAAAAACTGCAGAACAGTGGCCCTTGAGGACTGGAGTTTGATACCCCTGCTTTAAGAGAAGAGATTGCTTCTTTTTTTTTTTTTTCCTGTTTTTCTGTTTTATATATTCTCCAAATAACCAAATATATACACTGGAGGTGAACATTTTTTAAATTTCCATCTTCCTTCTCATTTAAAAGACTGTCTTTGAGACAGGGATGCTGTTCTGGGCATTGAGGGGGAGGATGTGGTGTCAGATTCTGCTGAAGTTGCCTTAGTTATTTACCGTCATGCATCATGACTTAGATGGTGTTGATGAGTTTACATCACAGTCTAGAAAGTTGTTCACCTTTTTAAGAATACTAATAAAACTGTAATATTTCACCAAAATAAAAATATAATCTTCACCAGTGTTTGGTTCTGGAAGTTTTGCAGCATTCACAGGAATTTGGTTGGACCAAACTCTTCCTGCAACTGCTGAGATCAACATCTCATTCTGAGCTATCCGAAGATGCAGCAAAATAACAGAAAATATCTAAATTATTACGCTACATCATTATTCCTAACTTAACATTAAGATGTTAATTTAACTTTTAAAAATATACATTTTAATTTCTCTTTGTGTTCAGCTGCAAATTTGAAACTTATATACCTGTCATTATTAAACCAAAAGGTTAAACTAAATCTGATTTGTGTTTTAACATGTCTGCAAAGATGGAAGGAGATGCAACATTTTCACATGGTGTCATCAAGTCGTCAAGTGTTTAATGAGCTTCAATGATTATGTTTGGAGGACTCTGGGAAAACAATCCACACATCTTAAATTGCAGGTGTTGATTTCTTGCCTTCAGTACAACATTCAGCTTGGTTTTATAGACTTTTTTTCTTGAGACTTGGCCCAAACTTTTTCGATCCACAGCCAAGCTTAAATGGGCATCTGGTTTTGTTAAAACTTAAAGAGCTGAGCGTGAATGATGAGACTATTAGCTTTAGGTGGGCAACTTTCTGGGACCATTTAATGCATAGGGTTTATTAAACATATTTATGTTGTAGGCACACAACTATATCAATATCAATCAATTGATATAGTTGGATTAGTCCACCAAACACTTTGCATCACTTTGCATCCTAGAAAAATATAAAAATCAAACAGTTTTTGGTTGCTCGTACAAATTTTGTCTAAATACTTTAGGCTTGGATTTCCGAACAGCTTTTCAGTCTTAGACATTTATAGAGACACAAACATGGATACCTTTATGCATTAAATATAGCATTTAGCTTTACATATTGTGTAAACAGAAAACAGTTTGATTTTTGTCTCTGCCTTTTCAATTACATATAGCTCTTGAGGATCTTATTTGCGGTTCAGTATTTGTTTTTGTTTCTATGAAATTTGCAGATTTTTTTCCTGCGTATCTAAAATGTCCAAACAAAGAAAATGAAGAAAAAAGTCACAATTCAAGAATAGAGCAGTGCACTAATCCTGTTGGTTTTCACTGCTGCCAAATTGTCTGGAAGAAGGCAGCCACTGCATGTTCCTCTTCAATACAAGAAAGACAAATTTGGCTTTTTGGGCATGATAGTGGTGCCTATGTGATGAAAACAAAAGGAGTGCCACCCAACCCTAATCCTACAACAGTTTACTTGGTCCCATTTTTTTCACAAAGTAATCGAAAGTGCTTTACAGAAAAATAAACGAAGGTGAAGAAAATTACACTGAATACAATGAATACACTAAAGGAATAGTTGTAAAGTTGAAGCATCACTTGGAGAGATAGAAAACTACACAAAAGCTAACTTAAAACATAGAAGTAGGTTATAAATTATTTTAAAAATACTGAGCATTAATTGGAGAGCTGCATCAAGCAATATTTTCAGTTCTTTATGAAGGTAGACAAACATTTCTGAAATAAGAGCAAATAGATCTTGTATAGCATTTTTGTTTTAAATATAAACACTCTTACATGGAAAGTTATTATTCTGAGAATGTCATAATGTTAAATTATTTTTGTAAAACAACCTGCACCTTTAAAAAGAAAAGTTCAATTACCTGCTGACTGATTTGATATAATACAATGTGAAAATGTTAAGCTTCTTTCTACGTGTTTTTTTTTTTTTTTTTTTTCTAAAAATGTTGCAAACTTATGTTTTGATTCTAATCTTGTTTCTGGAGATTTTTTTTTATCTATTTACATAAAAAACATTCTGGTACATCTTAAAAAAATATCTAACATTGAGGGTTAATGATTAGTGAAACATGAATTTTTATTATGATTTTAGAGAAACTTTCCCCATGCTTTCTCTTTTTTCTTTATTCATCTTTTAAAGCACATCTCCCCCTCTCATGTGTTTTACTGCTGACACTCACCCTCCCTCTCGCTCTTCATCTCTCCTGGTTAATTATCTGCTGGCACCCACTCGCTGCTAATGAGACCGCTAAACTGTCCAGACAGGCCTGGGGCTGCTCTGTCACTGTGTGCGCTTTCAGGGAGTCAAACTCTGCAGTGTGAGTATGTGTACATAATTACAGACATCATTTATAGCCCCCTGCAGGTGTGTGAGTGCAGATTCAGATGTCTACACACACATAGACGCTTGTCTATTGTCACAATGCCAGTCTGCTAATTTAAAGTGTATGTTGTATGAGTGATGTCACACATCATGTCATCACTTCAGGCTTCCTCACTGCTGTTTCTGCCGCCAAGAATGATTGGACCGTGTGTTTTATGGTGTTGAGTCAAAAAGCCGCCACTCGGCGTGGGGTAATGCGTCTGTTTTTGTGTGTGAAAATGTGTTTTGTATACTATGCAATCTGGGGCCGGAGACGTAGTGATGAATGGTCTGACGCACTTTAATGGGATTTCCCGGCCCGTCATCCATCCCCCACACTGTACGGCACACCGAGGCAGAAGAGGCTCTGAAAATAAAAGCCGAGCAAGAGTGTGTTGCTTCGTGAGGGGCGGCGATGGAATGAGTTAAATTGCTTGCAGAAATCTATTTCCATCTCAATTTGACATGCTTTAGACCTGAATCAGAAATGATAGCATCATTCCTCCTCATTCGGTCCAGATCGTCTAGACAAGTTCTGAACAAGTGTTGTTCTAAATATTTTTAAAAAATGGCTCTAAAGCTTTACTTGAAGCAGTTGTAGAAGTTTATTATTGCCAAAACACTCAGTTTCACGATCCTTGTAAGTCAACACCTGGGTTACGATCCCCCATCATGGTGGTTTCAAATGTCTAAGAGCCATTGCACACCTGAAAGTCTTAACTAAGGTTCATTGTTTTTGTTTAATTGTGAATATTTGGTCCAGTGGTTTATACTTCCCACAAGAATGTGATACTCGTACTGTCACATAGCTAATGACATAGCTATTTTGGCAGAAATTACCTTAATTTTAATATCATTAGGCTGGTCACAATAAAAAATCTTGCTAGATGATAAATTAACCCAATAACTATACCGATAAATAATACTAATGCTGTTTTGAATCCATTTTCAAGTAATATATTTATAATGACATTCATTTAACTTTGGCCTCTGAAAAACCAAAAAAAAATAATTTTGCAAAGAACACACTGGAACTCAAACATATTTTAAATATTCAAAGTAAATCACTACCAGAAATGATAAAACAGAATCAAAAACCACACCAACCAAAACCAAAAATAAATTGGTTAAGTCTTTATAAACAAAATTGCTATTCAAAAATATCTATCATAAAAATGGAAATTAGCACGCTTATTTTAATTGATTGTGTTAAGTAATTGTGTCAGAATTAAATTTCATTATTGTTGAGATGACATTATAGTATTTTTCTTATACAATTTCTGGGGTGACGCAGCTGTCATCTTGGAATACAGAAGTTTGTTTTTTGTTTTTTTTATATCGTCATTCTTCCTTCTTCCTCTTTCATGCCACATGTTAAAGTCACCCTGAGTAAAACACGTAATCCAAATTATCTGCTGATCTATGCATCACTGTGCGAATGCATGTATTTGTCATTGCAATAGGTCTGATGTAAAGTTCTTTGATTGGTTGGTTTGACTAGAAAAGTGCCAAGTAAATTGAATCCATTTAAAAGTCAGCACAATGTGAATTAACATATTCAACCTAAATCTCACTCTCTGAAGTTGAATTAAATGTGATTAATTTCATGGGTCATACACACTTCCGGCTACAATAATGTTTAATGTTTTATTATACCATCTCCAGCAGTTTAGAAGTACAAAAAACAGGCAAGTTTACAAACTTCTGCTGTAATTAAAAACCAGTCTTGAGATTTAAATCACAACCACATTTTATATTCATGCTCTCATTTTGTCCTGTCCTCTTTCTGATTTGTACCTTACAAACAAACTACTTCAAACTGTATTTTAATTTTCTTCTGTCGATGCTTAGGCAGTTTTTCAATGGAATATGAAAATAAATCTTTAGAAAAGTTCTTAAAACATAGTTTAATTTCATTCTGTTAAGCCATACACCTAAATAACACTGATAGTGGTTTTTGTATCATTTGAGCCATCTTTCATGTGACAGATGTGGACCACTGATAAAACCCAAAAATATTTTGTGATTATAAATTATATTTATCGCTCATATCATGACAATTTCTTGCTTATAAAAATAACTTAATCTGACTCGACACAGCTCAGCAAAGCTTTTCACTAGACCTGTTTTTTTTCCCCTAGTTTTAGCTGAATTAGCAGTTAGTCCATACATTTAAGATTTATATTTTAAAAGATCTTTTTATTCAACCTGCAAGTGTCATTCTGATACCATATTAGATGGAGCTCTCAAAAAAAATATGTTGAGAGTTTAAAAATATACATTTTATTTTCATTGTAATGTATCAAAAATGTATGCCTTAATAATGACTCGAAAAATATTTATTTCTATTATAGAAACTCTTATCAGCTTTTTGCACATTTTCACTGGTACTTGATGAGTTTCAAGAGTTTGAGTTTTGGCAGGCCTCTTTACCATCACTCTAATCTTTAGCTCCATTCACAGATTATCTTTAAGACAATCACAACTTTTATACATAAATACAGAGAATTTTACTTCCAATCAGGCAAAACAAATTGATAAATAGTTAAGAAACTAAGTTAATAGAAAATTATCAGATTTGTTATGAACCACTAAGTTGTTGACACCTAAACAAAATGAAAATAAACTTATATATGTAAAAAAAAAAACCTGGCAAAAGATCCACTGCTTCATTAAAATGATTACTGTATTATTATTTCAACCCAGCTCAGCTTAATTGACTGACTCCACCCTCTTAGAATATGCTGACCATCCTTTAAAACAGGTTTTTGATATAAAGCATAATTGTCTAAGTATGGAGAAAAAAAATGTAACAAATTTGAGAACATATATACAACTATTTTCTCATTTACTTTTGTACTGAGCTCTACAGGCTGACAGTAACAGTTAAGAAACAAAACCTGAACTTGTTTTGCTGGTGTTTGATAACCAGTGTCTTTATCAAGCCAGACCGGAAAGCCTTCCCTCTCTGTTCCAATAAATATCCAATAAAATCCAAAACAAGTTTACCGTATGCCTGATTTCCCCCAGATTCCGTGAAACCAGTCTTTCTCATACGCACACAGTTTTACCATCAGCTCAGACCACAAACTATGCCATCTACTTCCCCTCAGTTCCCTACTGTCCTGCATAATTTGGTGAAACCACAGTCTCTTGTGCACATCATACCTTACTTCTTAGATCTCAATCTCTTACTTACAGCTCAGAATAGGATGAAGTTATGATTTTTCTTTCCTCTGTTTGTCTTAACATTAACTAAACAATGACATCTCAGATCTGAAATACTCCATCAATGTCCAAAATCTAACTGGTCCCCACAAACAAGGACAAACTGTATAACACACACATGAACGCACACACAGTTTTGCTTTTTTTAAGCGTCTCAGGGGTCTACTGTGCTCTGCTGTATGTCAGACAGAGATCAAGAAGATCAACAGATGAGAGTGATTAGTGATGAAGAGGAAGTCATGAGTGTTTTTCTCATCATGAGCCGCACAAACACTTTACAGCACACGCTGGGACATGTGACATCAGAATGTCGCAGCAAACTTTACATTTCTAAACGTTAACTCTGTAAGCTGCTGGGTGAGTTAGTTGGAAACTGAAAAAAATCACCAAATCCTAAACAAATTGAACCAGATGAGTTGCTCTTATGTATCAACTCCTGATTTACATACAGTTGTAGTTTTTCTGTCTCCATGGGTATATTTTTTGTGTAGTCCCTAAACACAAACTGCTGGAAAACATCAATAAATCAATGAGTTTTTAGGCCTGTGAACAGATGTTTGGATCCAAATGAGTGGAAAGCATAAATTAATAAATTAAAAATGAGATCTAACTTTAAATGCATGTCTTCCAAGATAAATGTCAAATATTGTTTAACAGCTTACCCATAAATCAAAAGTAACAAAACCCTGTTATGTGGAGGTAATTTAAGCTGACAGTGCAACAGCCGATGAACGAGGTTTCTGTTAAGAAAGAATCGAGTTTCCTCAAGTTTAAGCGGTAAACACGCCGACAACCAAAAACGTACGCGTGTGTTTCTTTGTCTCTGTATTCCTGGCAGCGTGACACACACACATACACACACACACACACACATCTCCTCCTTTCTGTGGTTCTCTCTCTCTGTCGTGTCTCTGAAGACAGAGGACTGTATGTCCATTTTTTAATGAGAGCAACGGCCTTTGAAGTTCGGAATGATTCAAAGGACACGATTTACCCCGCCCCCTCAAACACACACACATGCACACACACACGCCCCAGAGTGCGCTCAGATGACACACTGAAAGCTTGTTGTCTTTTGTGTGTTGGGCCTTTTATCTTTTAGACAGTTGCAATATTTATTTTTTTTAACTTTTCAACACATAATTGCTCCTCCACTTTTGTTTTCACTTCATTTGCTCTATTGACGCTCTTAAGAGGAACTATTCCTTTTCATTTTTGTTTTCATTTTATGGTATTCAATCCAACCAGTAGTGCCGACTTCCAAGTCCCCAGCATTTGCGTGACATCCTGGAACATCCTATGAATGCAACAATTATGGAGGTGTTGAATGAAAAACTGATGACAGTGATTTAAGAAGTCGTCGTATTTCAATATTTTATTTTAGAGTTCAATATACTGGTAGATTTTTTTTTTATGTTTATGTTTTTTATGTTTAACTTTGCAGTAAGTTTTTATTTACTTCTAAAACAAGCAAGAGATACTTCTACATATTCACATAAAAATATATTACATTTTCTTCCTCCATGTTCTTCCAGTATAAATTCATACCTCATTTACAGCTTAACAAGAACAGCAAGAACTACAGATTAGTTGCCATGTATTTTCATTTTGCAGAGCCATTATATCCGGAAAAAAAAAAAAACTACTCATCTTTAGTTATTTAAAACTTATCTGTTTTATATCCCTTTAAACCGATGTATTTTGTTTTGAGAATGAAATGCACATTGTTTTCAAAGTTGGGTTTTCTTTTATTGCCAAGTCAGATGTGTTGCAGTTGAGTTACTTTTTACTCAACTGTGACATACCAGCTTTTAGTCTTTTATCTAGTCTAATTATCTTTAGTAGGACATCCACAGTCCTGTCTTCTCCCTAGATTTGAGGTCTGTGGTATCCTGGCCATTGCCTTCATGTGCAACTCTGCTTGAAAAAATTCTCCCTTCCAGCACAGTCGGGGCTTTCTCCCCTTCACTCTGATTCTCGCAGGTAGATTTTCTACTGGGACAGCAAACAAACAGAAGAAGTTTTGAACAATGTTGATTTTCTGTGCCGTTTTAAAATTGTATTCTTCCTGTAGTTTTAGCAACGGCAGCAGAGGAAGTGAAAGAAGGGATTCAGTCTGTGTTGACCAAGCTTTCAAATATTAAATTGACATTAATAGCCGCCTTGTTTAGCTTTCTGTCTTTGGAGTGGAGGATTGTTGTTTATGGCACAAACAATTTCCGGTAGCCTTCATAATGTAGAACTGACGCATTACATTAATCACAGGCAAACGTTAGCAACTGCATAAAATTTCAACACAGGTCCACGCCTCCAGGAAGAAATAGTTTCTCAATAGTTGAGAGCCCAGATCCTCTGTACAAAGCAAGTAGTGTTTAACCAGGCTTGCTCTGTGGGCTTCTGGAGGAAAAAGATCAAGCATTTTTGTTTTGATTTGATCTGATCATCGTCCTAAAACAAAAATCACAACTTATTTTCAGTGGTTTTAGTTAAATTATCCTGAAATGCATTCTAATCCTATTAGAATCCCATATGACAAAACCTTCAGTGTCTTTTTTTTAACTTGCAACACAAACTGTTTGTGTTGTGATGTGTGTTGACTTTTAATGAAGACTATAGAGGTGCAGTTTTTAATTTCCTTCATTCTAAGATTGCATGCAAAATAATTAGCAACCTCAAAAATATGCAAAACTACAAACACTGGAATCTGGAATCAACCCCCTGCACATGTTCAAGAGCTTGAGACACTGATCTTTAATGAGATGTCTGGCCTGCGACAGACAGACAAAGATGGAAAACATAAAGCCAAACTGCAGTGTGGCATCCAAAATGGTCCGGAGCAAGAAACTTTCAGATGTCTGTTGCTGCATTTATGTAAATAAAAAAACTCTCATTGCCATGAGGTCAAACTAGTCTGTGAAAACAACCAAAAAACTTTTCCCTGGAAATGCTGTCTCCTATCAGCAGTCATCTGTTTTCACGCACACGCGTATACACACACACACACACACACACACACACACCAACCTGTTATTAACCCTGTCGCCCTCTAATAGGCAGGTGGTGAAGAGACAGAGACGGACAGACCCACAGAGAAACAGAAAATATGACAGGAGGATGTGGCTGATGGGGGCAGCCAAGCCATTACACTTTGATCTCTGCCTCTCCGATACCAACACACACACACACGAGCACACACACTGTCAGACACCATTAATAAGCAGTGTGTGTCGCTTTCCGCTCATAGCCTTGGGGTTGGGACATCAGGTTTGCTACCCAAGCGTGCGTGTGTTTGTGTGTTGATGTGTGGCTCCTGACTGTCTGGTATTGTTTGTCACAAACTGGGCAAGCGTTAAAGATATGTTTAAATATCCAACCCCATAAATCCCCAAATCATTCTCCTACAAAAGTATTTGTAGAGGAAATGCTTTTATGATCTTTTGACAAATTTCAAAAGTAAAAGTTTGAAATCTGCCAAATTTAACTCAAAAATACTTTGTCCACCTCAAAGGTACATTAAATGTCTTGCTTTATACTATTTCTTTAGAAATGTAAATGCTGATGGCAGGAAGGATGTCCTGTAGCAGTCCTTATCACAGTGGCTCTGTCATAAGGACCGAATACACTGTTGTGTTTTAATATATTTATAAAAGTTTTAGAGGCCTGCAGATGGCTT